CGCGAAATTGAAGCGATGCTGAAGCCATAACAATGCCATAATGATGCGATGCTGAAGCGAAGGTGAAGCTGAAGTGAAGCCAAAGCTTCCGCGAGAACTGTACTGTATGAAACCCACCGTTGTCAAATCAACAAGAGGCTCGAATCAGAAAGGCTCGGCTATTTAAAACTTCGTAAATAACATTCGTACCTTCGAAAATTACGACTTTTACTCTTGGAATTGGTGATAAATACATGCATAAAATACAACATTGTTTCACGCAACAACAATTCGTATACAGCATTGGACTTATGGATTTTTATATTAATAAAATACGTGGGCCGATAATATTACCATATGCTTAGTATTTCCATGCCAGCGATGCTCGTAACCTGCTCGATTTAAAAACAGCTATTTGAAACAGACTCATGGAATCACAAAGGAAACTGTTAAGTACGTATTTCATACCTTTCCTATGACCGCGGTTGCAACCGGTACCGGTGGCCATCGCGGTAGAGACCCCTAATTATAAGCAGTCCGGGGAGAGCCGCGGTGGTTTCCGCGGTGAACCGCCAGTTTGATTTTCTACTCTCCCTTTAGTGAAATGTAAGAATAATGCAAAGCAGCTAATATAAATTAAATCAGATTACCCTTAGAAAGCGTCCTCTGTTGTTTTCTTTGAGGTCCATGTAATACCGTCTATTGTCTTTTGTAATCATTTCACTCTTCAAACGTCCATCTTCTGGTGGGTTGTCAGGGTTTGGTGGACCTAAGATTAAACACAAACAAACATGTTACTGGTAGTAAGAGTTGCCACAAATCAATGGGGAAAACTATAGATCTGGAAACTGGGTTGATGGGAGAGATATACAACGTCTCTCTGGTGTCCCAAAATGGAGGAAGGTGGTAAAAATTATGGAACTCTCTCGAAATAAAGCTCTTTTGAAGTAACAAATCCACCATATTGCAAATAATGCATTATTCTTTCATATTTAGATATGCATTCCCTAATAAGGATAATTGCTTGTGAAATTGTGTCTATCAATATATGTAATGTACATCACACCAATTGTTGAAGTTTGAATAACAATGAGCAATGCATTGCCGAAAACTGGCAAAAACATCATTTTCACCCTATTTTTTGACCAAAAATTATTTTTATACCCTTAATTATGCTTGAATAATAACTGAGCTGCTGTACATTACACTGAACAATTTTTTAAAGAAATTTTAGACCAGTACCACCAACCCAAAGAAATTCATGAAATTTTCTCAGTATTAAAATGTACTGGTAAAATGTGGCAATTTGAAAAACATTTCTTTAATTTTATGAATTTAGTATTTAAACACGCTTGAGTTTTTTCAGATGGAATCACATTTCTCAGCACTTTAAGGGAACACAGACCTCATCAGCATTGAAGTCTAAACAAGTGATATGTTATAGGCCAGCTAACAATTTTATATAAACTCTGACTTACCCAACTGTGCATAATGCTCAATGAATTCTGTCATATGATCACGAAATTCTGCTGCTGTAGACATTGCCAGTGTCAATCGGCTCTTATTCCCACCAGCTCCAACCTAAAAGTCAGAAGAGACAAAACATCATTCCATCAAATATGCAGATTATTTCACTTCGTAAAATTATTTCATCTGATGAGGCAGCTAGAAAATGGTCCTGGCAAATGACAATTTGTTAAAACACTTAAAGAGGGCTCCATTCAAAACTTATTCCAGCTGTGTACTAAAAGTTGCATGTTATTGCGTACATGGAATAGGAATTGCACTAACTGCAAACTCATCACAGACCTCCGGAAAAAGGACCATAATAGGCCCTAGATGCAAATGACCTTGAGATCTTGTTTGGAGCATGGACCTACAAACAACTTAGGTCCGTGTTTGGACCAATAATTCCATAATTTCTTTCATTAACGTGTCCATTACAATAAATACCACGTTAAATAGATCAGGGAAACAGTGGATGTGATGACACAAAAGAATAGAACATTATTTGAGGGGTAAAAACAAGTCTTGAAGCTCTCAGACTCAACAAGATCGGTAGCTATTTACATTAAAGACATTGACAGGAAAGTAATACTGAAAGATTACCTCCTTCATGATTTGTTTCATGTTACCACGAGTAATAAAATATTATAAGTTATATTCAATATTTGAACCAAATGACTGTTCAATTATTAGAGCGCCCTCAAGAGTACGACACGACTCAGATTGTGAAACAGATACGTGTGCATCTGTCCCATGATGAATACATGTTTTGAATGGAATCATTTAAGGCATTTTATGAATCAAAGTTTGTTTGAAATTTGTAACAAATCTGATCATTTTAATGGACAAAATTACATTTGCATCAGAGCAACTAAACTACATGCATCTGTTTATACATAAGTGCCTCAAAGCTTCCACAAAAGGTGATACAAAAATTTGATTCATATCGGTTTATTCTAATTAACTTAAAAAAATAAATTACCACCACCCAACACATTTCACCAGTCGTGAAAAAATTGTGAAACTTTGCATTAATTAGTGAAAGATTTCACAAGGGACATAAAGACAAAGTCATGGTGACATTTGCAAAATACTCTTGAATCATCATACAACATGTATCATAAAAATCAATAACAAAAACATAACTTTTCAATATTCCTCTCCATCTTCCAGGGCTTGAACTTCATGATCTAGAAGCATCCTAATCTAAGGCCAAATCTGACAAAATGCCACAGAAAGAATAGAGTATAGAAATAATATTGGGGAAATGTATGATTTTTGAAGGACACCACGGTAATCTGGTTGGGAATCCAGGCAACTATCATCAATGCCTTCGCAGTTCAAGCCTTGACCTTGAATCCTAGTTAGCAATGCATAAAAAAAAAGTTCAACATCATTTTTGTTACACTATTTCACAACTTTCTAATCTTAGTGAATTTCAGGTTACGACAGTCAAGTATATATGAGAAATTAAATAGAATTTAGAGATGATTTTACGGTAGATATAAATTTATATTAAAGGTTCTTATGAACAGAGTCAATACACCAAAATGCTATTTAGTGACCACCTCTAAACAGTGAAAGAACAGAAAGAATTAAACAAATTTGTAAAAATAATTTTTACTTTTAGTGGAGATTCAACAAATATCAAGTCATATTAAATTGAACAACAGTGGTCAGATCGTATACATTAAAGACTGGTTCAAACAATATCAGCATGAAAAGATTTAAAGCGGGGGAGTCGCCCCCTGCGCGTGTCATTGTTGTGTTTTTTTGCGGGAATCAATTCACACGCATGCGCAGGTGATGGACCCTCACGCTTTAAGATTTAAAATTAAAAGATTAACTAAATAAAGTAAGTTGTTTCTATCTGAAAGCGACTTGATGTAGGTCTCATGAGTTATCTGTAGTTTTAAATTTGAATCATACATGTATGTACAGATGAAAAGTATTAATTATCATGCAAATTAGATAATATGTGTCATTGTACAAAAACAAAATTTTGCACTTAACATCTAAATATCAGGAGGTACAGATTGCTGAAATGTGTTCACAAACTGAGAGATGCACAGACAGATGGATGGACCAGTGCCTACAAAACCACAAAGTATTACAGGGACTATAAGAACCACCTGCCTATAGTGCCTACTTTTAGGCAGTCCCAAAACACAATATACATGTAACCTGTGTGAATAAGGACCCCTCTGTCTTATGCGACCACTATTTTCAGCCATATTTTTGCAGATTCACCTTTGTTTAGAGATCAATAAAACAATTTGCGTTCTGTTTATGGAACAATTTTTAATTTCTTCAAGTCGCACTGAGTTGATTTTGATAAACTCAAATATTGCATAAGCATTACCATTTCTTTATCATCTCATCTAGACAAATATTTTGTCAAATGTACAAGTTGGTGATCAATGAAAAAAATACCAACTCAATAATGTCTCTTGGGTAAATTATTATAACATCGGTTTGACCATTTGTTTTTTATCAATGTACCATTATATTAAAAACAGAATATCAAGAATTATAACATGTAGAATTCCAGATTATAGAATTGACTTTAATTTATTTCAGATCAATTACATTTGTCAACAATGATTGTTTACACTTTTTTAACAGAATGAAAGATTTTAAAAACATAGCCACCAATTAGCCATTTTGAATTTGATCAGCAAAACAAAATGGCACACAACAAGATACAATGTTGTTCAATGTACATAGCAAATCTGAACTAAATTTGTCAATACCTGACCAAGAGTTGGTTTTGGAATGACAATGTTTTGAAAAAATATTAGCATTAAAATGCTAGCAATTAGTCCATCTTGAATCAAATCACAAAATACTTGCATGAGCATATGAATCCCAAGATATACATGTATGACACACATTTAATGTTTTAGCATGACACACATGATCTGAGGCATAGAGGTGAAATTAGTCCCAGTTTTCAGACTTATTTAATTCAAATAGGGTCTAATAAACCTATATGTAATCTGCATCAGCAATTTGGCGGCGACTATTATGTCTGACTACCAACCAGATTCACACTTTCACCAAAATAAAATCGATAGGTCTGTGTTAAGGGCAACCACTACTAAAAAATAATACGAGTATCCATCCATAAAATCTAGTTATAAATGAAAAATCATGCCTGAAATTGAGGTTTCCATGAGAACCTATCTGCTAAATGAGATGACATAGTCTCTACCACAGGGCAATCTGCCACAGGGCAAGAATTCATCCACTCTCAAACAAACATGGGCAAAAACCTAACATTTAACTGGACTGCAGGCAAATAATCCTTTGAATTTGAATTAATTATGACTTAAAAACCGTCTATGAGAATTATATTATCAATCTTGTGCCTACTAACCCTTGACAGTACAAATTTGTGGTCACACAGGGTAGCACAACATTTTTTCATACACTGCTGTATTTGCATCTTAGTATGGGAGTAGAACAATTCTGTTTGGGCAGTTACAGATTGTAATTGTACAGATTGTAATTTTTTTTTTATCCAGAACAACTACACTTGGGTATAAATATTGTGTTTTGGTATGGCATGCAAGAAATTACTTTTCCAAGTTGCATCTGAAGGCAGAACAGTGAAATCGTTACATATCAAAATAGTTACAGGGAACTGCTCTTTCCAATCCTATAAACTGTACACTCACTGAGCAGCTACACAATACAATTCACAAACCTACAATCAGCAATTCAGGTAGAATAAAAAAAAAATGTGTGTGGTTCCAATAAACCTACATGTACTGAATATGTATTGTCCACCCTGAACTTTTTTAGGCCAAACATAAAAAAAATTGTGCAAAATCGACTTGATTGAAATTAATTTATTATCCAGAATTCTGACCCAATTCGGAAGATGCTAATGTGAACACCATTAACCATGGGTGTTGATAAGTTATCAGCTAGCTGTGCAATGTAGACGATACAAATATTTTAAATATAAATTTTGATCAACCATACCTATTTTTTAAGTGCACATTATAGGAACTACAGAATTTTTTTTTTTGGTCAAATTCTACATCACTAGCTACTGATTGCATGTTTGCATTGAGCTAAAACTAAGGTAAGCAGTCCGCAAATGCATGAAGTGTACCAAAATCTAAATATATCTCTAACTGTATTTATAAACATGACGAAAGACTGCTGAATGCTAACATTCTTTTGACACCTGTCGGATTGTCACATGTTCACTATTATCACTATAGGTTAAAGGTCATGTATGCTCAGGAATGCACTATAGACATCTTTTAAACTGACTCGCACGTAACATACATGTACAAGAAATTAGAACTCCAAGAATTTATAAGACTAATGAAAACAAAAACACAACATAACTAATCAAAGTTGAAATAACTGTCACACAACGTGATTGCTGCAAGTCTATTGTCTTTTATCTGATCACAAATTGAATTGTTATGGACATGTATTGCTACACGTAATCACACTGAATACTAGTATGTAAATCATTGGGAATGTAACCAGGTAAATTGTTTCTGAATGAATTTGTAGTGGCCAGTAATTGAAAATCTGATTTATTAAATGACTTTTAAATTTGCAACCTAATATATGGTCACAAACTATATTTCAATTTTCTATTTCTTATATTTATGCAATTTTTGTATCTAAACTCAAGTAAAGTCAATGTCGCCAGTGGTAAGTAAGCATGCTTATTTGCTATGCCAGTACAAAACAGTACATGTAGATGAAAGAGATTTAGTATGTACGAAAAAATAAATGGCTGTCAGTCAACCATCTTTAATCCCATTGTGAAACAATTTTCATGGACATGTATCCTATTTTATAAATGACAAAAATTTTAAAAAGCAAGCAACAATACGTTTTCAATATGTCTACCAGTCAGGCATTCTTGATCCAATCATGAAAAAAA